AGCAGGAATTGGCTCAGATTCGACAGAGAGAGGCCAACTTGACGGCATTGGCGGCTATCGGACCCAGAAAGAAAAGAAAACTGGATTCTCCTTCATTTGGGACTGACACAGAGGTACCAAACATCTCTCCCTCATCATGGCAGTCTGCTGCCCTTCTCCTCATCTCCTTCTGTCCCTCTTTGTGCCCTCTTTAAATCATTTAGCACCTGTTGGGCAGGTTTGAGATGTCAGGTTGTGCTTCAAGGGTCTCAGATTGTCACAAACGGCAGATAGGACAGTCTAAAGCAGGGGTGCCCAAACTCGGTCCTGGAGGGCCGGTGTACTCTTCAGGACACCGGCCCTCCAGGACCGAGTTTGGACACCCCTGGTCTAAAGGCATAGTTACACACAGCCATTTTGTTCAGCAATTCTTTACACAATTTTAAGTATATATTCATGTATCATGCTATTTATTGTTATTTTGGGTTATTTATATTTTTTTGTTATATTATCATTCACATTTTGCAGAGAAAAACTTTACAAAATTAAGAATTTATTTAAATAATAATTCTATATCATGCGATTTTTATTTTATTTTATTTATATTTTATATTAATATTACATTATCATCACTTTTCAGAAAAATAATTGCAATTAATATTTTATTTAAATAATTTTGTGATACATTTTCAGCAAATTCTTACTATTTTAAATATACATTTCTGTTTTATGCAATTTATTTCTTATTTATGTACAATTTTTTTGTCATATTATCATTTACAAATTTTAGAGAACTTCACAATTTGAAAATATTAAAAAATATAATTCTGTATCATGTTATTTATTTTAATTTTATATTAGTTTATATATATTACATTATAGTATCATTCACTTTTTTCAGAGAAAAATTTTTGATATTGCTTTATGTAATGTTTATATTAAATTATATTATCATTAAAGGTCGACTGATTGATCGGCCGGCCGATTTTTGGCATTTTTTTTATTAATCGGCATCGGCCGATTGTGCTGCAAATTAGGCCGATTTATAGGCAGGTGCATCTGCGGGCAGCTAAGCGTTGTTGTGGAGCGCAGTACCGGAGAATCTGGCCGTTTCTCAATACCAAGTACGCAAAGTTTGGACTTGCGTCCTTGGTAGTTCGGACTTCGCAAGTTCGACTCGAGAGTGCAAACTCCCGAGGACGGGAGGACGCTAGTCCGGTAATTCTGCAAATGGAATAGCAGCGTACTTGATAACGTCAGTCAGCTCGCCTTGGCTACTCCGGTTATCCTCACTGTATGTATTTACAGTAAGACAAAATATGATATCGAACACTGCCTCTTTTCGTCTTCATTTAAACATATTAATAGACGCAAAAATGTAGTTCAGGGAACGTACATGCATTACAATGAAATGAAATATTATATCAAACAGCATTGCATCTTTTCTGTTTCATTTAAACATATTAATAGCCACAAAAATGTGGTTCATGCAATGCGTACATGCATTACAATAAAACGAAATGATATCAAGCACCACTGCCTTTTCCTTTTCTTCAAAATATAAAACACAACCCTTTTTGTTTTCATTTTAAAAATATAAAACATTAATATGTGGTTTAGGCAATATGTGCACATATACTCTGATTATCTTCACTGTATGTATAATAAAATGAAATATGACAAGTACAACTCTGCCTTTTTTTGTTAAATGTCAGTTTTAATGAACAATAATAGCCATTATAAAGTATAAGAGACTTATGTAATAGGAAATAAAGACAAAAGCAAACAATTTAGTCAAATGTATGCTACAAAGTCAGCGCTGTATTACGATTAATAAATAAATAATTTATGAAACGTAACTTTGTGCTCAGCCAAAACGATATGACCTGGAAGAAATAATAGATTCATGAGACCAAAGATTGCCTGTTAGATTTACCCAAAATGAATTTTACCTCATGTTTAACCACTACCGAGACATCAGAGCCAGTGGCAAATGTCAAAAGAACTACCCTACAATAATCATTAACTCAAAATCTCTTTATTGAGATGAAGGGGAAAAAAAAGAAAATCGGCCAAAAAATATAGGTTTAAATTAGGGCTGCACAATAAATCGCATTCCATTATCATGCGCATCTCGTCAGTAAAGCCGGTTCTGTGATTAGTAGTAAATCTCCAGCACGTGTTTTCAGATGGAGCGGCATTTAATACACAGAGCCGTAGCTCACTGACAAGCTACGCAATATCGCGTTCATAATCGCAGATGAATCGCCTTCGATTCTAATTTACTACTAATCACAGAACCGGCTTTACTGATGAGATGCGCATGATAATGGCATGTGATTTATCGTGCAGCCCTAGTTTAAATTAAGTATTACTCATTTTCTTTTCTCCTTTAGAATGGTCACTATTACATTACACCTATTTTATCAATCTACCAACATTAGTATCAAAATGTTAGTTTAGATAGCATTGTTGTCAAAGTTCATGTGTGTGTGTGTGTGTTTGTGTGTGTGTTGACAGGGCTCAGGTTTGTGCGCGAGTGCATCCGGGGGCTTAAATGCAGGAGCGTCGAGGCAGTACACTCGCCAGCGCATCACGCGTGTAAACCTCAGGGATCTGCTCTTCTGTCTAGAGAACGAGAGAAGCACCAGCCACTCGCAACTGCTCTACCAAGCCCTTCTCAAATAGCAGATAGCCCATGTCCTTCCCTCATTTCAGTCTTTAGGGCTCTATCCCTCATTCTTTGTCTTTTTTGCTGTTACCATTCTTTGTCATTCCCTTTGCGTCTATCTTTATTGCTCTTTCACACTTTCTGTCACTGTCTCACATACTCACACATACAGTGATGCATTTCCCTTTCTCGAGCTGACTTGTGCTCTTCTCGTTTTCACTTTTTATCGGTTTTCTTTGTCTTTTATTTTGCCTTGTTTTTAGCTTTCTGCCCCTTTGGATTTTACTCTTAAGAAATTGTGTTAAAAGAAAATTGCAATTATATATCATGTTTTTCATAGAAGGTGGCTTTGTAATGTGCAAATTACTTGTGTAAAAAAAAAGGAATTCACAGTGGAACTGCCCATTCATTTTATATTTGTGTTTTTATAAAGATGTTTTAAGAAATAAAAGTGGACAAAGTTTCTATAAAAACCTTGGTGGTGTGGTTTTATAATAGGTAATGCATATAAGAATCCCTAATTGCTAGATTCGTTTTAATAAATAGGACTGTTCACTTTAACCGATTCAAATACATCACTCTCGATTCGTTTGAATCACAATTGTTCCCTTGCCCACAGTATTCAGTGCTGTTGTGAAAGTGTTCTTTTTAGATATAACATTTATTACTAGATTTTATAATCGTGGTCACCCTAGCTCAACGTTTTACTTCCCTCAGGCGAATGATTTACAAACGCGTTGCGAATTGGTTCAAACGAATGATTAACAAAACTAGTTCAAAAGAACCATTCGTTCGTGAATCAGACATCATATGGTTATTATCTTGTTATGCACTAGATGGCACTGTAGACCTGCGTTCATTGTGACGTTGCATCTGGGTCTGTTAGAAATAAATGCTAGTTTGTTGCTGAAATTGAAAAATAATTACACATAAATTACCATTCAGACGTCCCTGCATTTAAAAGGACATGTTCTGACGACTTCTATTTGCCTTAGAATAGGCAAATAGATTTTCCTCCCTTTCGAAATGAGCAGTGTGGATAGATTATACACTTCATTGTTGGACTTTGGCTCTCAAATTTATCCCGTTACAGTCACAATCATCCCTCCTGGATATACGCAGGTTTAAGAGTTAAACTCATGACAGCTGGCAAGGCAAGATGGCATGGGTCGAGTTAATGCTTCTAGGCTACAAGTAGCTCATTCTGGAAATCCAAAGTTCTGCATGTTCAGTCAAAGGTCAAAAAGTGTCCTTTTACAGTACGTATCCCGAACCGCCTTTTACCTCATCGTGTAGATTTAGCGACTCGAGACAAAATTGACTACGACGACTAATGATGTCGGTCTATCCCGCACTGCAGAATACCTCTGCCATGTCAGCCTCCCTCTTTTGCCCGTTGTGTGTGGGCGCAATCCTGTGTTTTCCAAGGTAACCCCTTCTTCGCTGCAAAGGGCCACTGTGCCTCTAGAGCTAAGCCCACATAAGCTCCCTCTCAAGAGGAAGAAAGAGGGATGGCAGAGGCTGACTGGTTGCCTAGCTACATCTCACAGAATGTTCTGTGTAAACAGCGGCTGGCGGAGGAAAAATCACACAGACTTTGGGTTTGATTGGGTGGAGCAGTTGTAACCCGACTATTATCCCGGCGCTGTTAGGAAGCTTAAATCTTACTGTAACAAAGACCCCCTGTTGTGACTTCTCATCCGACATATGATAGTATGCATTGCACGCACTGACTGCCACTACAGACTCGTCAATGCCATAACAATTGAAGTTGTCGATTGATTGGTACGCAGAGGTCATCGCCGCATCGTTTTATTGCATCAGGGTCCGGCCTTGTGTTTGTATGTATCTTGCGGTCGTGTGGCTGTGATGTAAGATTGCTTGTGTCAGCAGCCTGCATTGGAATCGCTGTTAGACGTGCTCAGAGCGATTATGTTCCATTCTCTGTGTGCATGTGTTCATTTGAGCTACGTCAACTTCAATTTATGAGACCCACCTCAACAGCTGCTCTCTTGCCCATATTTGCTTTCACCTGTATTTGCTCAATTATAGAGGAAACGCTCCTATTATGTTAGAGAGATGAGTGATGGCATATAGAGGCTCTATCCATTCCTTTTGATATCGGACTCAGCTAATACTTTTGTCAACGACATGGATAATAACTATAATTTACGGAATGTATTAAAGTTGCCTTAACGCTTTGTTCATTATAAACGCGCGTTGCCCTTTTGTCGTCTGCTGCTTTAAATGCTGGAGCTCTTTAAAGCAGGATGGATTCAGATTGGCTGTCACTGTTTTTTTTGTATCGCTCTTCGCCTTTAAATAATTGTTCGTTGTGATTACAACGATATTTTTCCATGTTTGTAGTTGCCATTATTCCGTTATTGTTCTGATGTGAACTTCCCTCACAAACTTACACCGTGTCTACACCGGACGCGACAGTTGCCCAGTGTAGAGAGCATCACTGATTATAATGAGCTCTATAGTATTTTGTCACGCCGCAACTATTAAAACTCTGTAGTTATAGTCATTCTCGGTGTGAATGGGCCTTAAGTCTGTTGGAGTCTGTCTGCTAAATATCCAATCTGCTGTCTCTGTTTGTGTTCTGCACAAAGTCGAGTTGAGGTCATTATTAACAGCTTTTTCTTTCTTTCTTTTTCTTACTGTCTTTTTTGTTTCATTAGAACTGCTAGATTACTTTTATACATCAACATCAGTATGAAAATATGTTTGGTGTTGTCAAAGGGCCTCAAGTCTGCAGGATTCTGTCTAATAAAGGTTGAAGCTGCTGTCTCTAACTGTTTGTGCTCTGTTTAAACAAAAACTAAGTTCAGTCTGAGGTCATGATGGGTAGTTATTTTGGGGCCATAGGCGATAGGCTACTCTGTTTAGACAGGATTCATTTCTTTCATCTCAACCTTACTAAAAATCTGTAATTTTTGTTGTCTAAAACAGTTGACTGCAGTGAACATGTATTTGCCTTTGCCTGACGAAACCTTTAAAGTTGTTAGTTTAGTATTTTCTGTCCACCTTATTGTTAGCATGGACATGACCATTTATAACTCGAATGTGAATGCTTCTGGTATCAACCACTTCCATTTATTTTAGCTTAAAATCAAAACAACAACAAACAAACAAAACACTAACAACAACAACAAAAAGCCAGCTTGATATACACTACCAGTCAAAAGTTTTTCAACAGTAAGATTTGTAATGTTTTTTAAAGAATTATATTCTGCTTACCAAATCTACATTTATTTGATCCAAAAATACAGCAAAAGCAGTAATATTGTGAAATATTTTTACTATTTAAAATAACTGCTTTCTATTTGATTTGAAATGTAATTTATTCCTGTGATCAGATCTAAATTGTATCATTACTCCAGTGTTCAGTGTCACATAATCCTTCAGAAATCATTCTAATATGTTGATTTGCTGTTCAAGAAACAGTTATTGTTATTGTTATTATTATTATCATCAAAATTTAAAACAGTTGAGTAAATTTTTTCAGGATTCTTTGATGAATAGAAATATCCAAAGATCAGCATTTATCTGAAATAAAAAGCTTTTTGTAACACTATACCATTCAAAAGCGTGGAGTCAGTATCATTTTTTTCTATAGAAATTATAGAAATTAATACTTTTATTTAGAAAGGAAGCATTAAAGTGCCCCTATTATGGATTTTTGAAAATGACCTTTCATGCAGTGTGTAACACAGCTCTTAAGTGAATGAAAACATCCTGCAAAGTTTTAAATCTGAAAGTGCACGGTGTATACAGTTATTGTCTCTCAAAAGATAGAGTCGACTCTGAATCATTGAAACGAGTCGTTTTTAAAACCAATCCCAAGCCGTTTCATGTTGACGTCAACATGAAACATTGGCATATTGTCCGCCCACTTCTTGGTTTTTTCGTGTTGGTCTGAATGAAAATGCAAATTCATTCCCCGGTAACGCTGTACACAAAGCAGCTCACAAAGCAGCTCACAAACACTGCTTTATCGGGCATTACAGGCATGATGAAATGTAAATGAGACCAATCTGGGTTTGGAAAAATGAATCGCTAAGTGAATCGTTTGGGAGTCATTGAGCAAGTCAACCTGTTGTTGGGGACTCCCAAAACCAAAATATGAACCTTTCATTACCCATAATAGGGGCACTTTAAATTGATCAAAATTGATGATAAAGACATTTATAATGTTACAAAAGATTTCTATAAAACATTAAAAATCTTACTGTTCAAAAACTTTTGACTGGTAGCATATTGTTATCATGTTTTCATTTTTTATGATGGAAATCGCTGGTTTGTAGCGCAAATAGTTTTACCATTTACTCCACATCATTTTAGTTATTTACCTATAGCTAATGAATTAGAAGTCTTGCACATTCATAGGAAATAATTTACATTTGCATTGAAAAATGAGATGGATAGCATTAAATATTGATTTGACTTAATAAAATAATAATCTTACCTTGCTTTAACTAATGATATAATAATGTTAAAGGTATATTCAGTAGTTTAGAGCTAATGTAAAAGATTTACACATTATAAATAACAGTTAAGTATTCCAGAGATAGTATGCAGTTAAACTTAAATCTTGCTCTACCATGTGCTGTAATTTTAACAAAGCAAGAGCTCCAAAGAAAGATGAAACCGGTTTTCTGTAATAAAGAGGAATCTGTCAAAACATTTGTGCTTTTCTGCATGAGAGCGCGTTGAAGGTACCACCTCAGCAGTCCTGCCGTCGGGCAATGACCCAAAGGAGAAATTACATTTACTGGACCGGAGAATGTTTCCACCCTGGTGAGCCGGTGTGAGTCTTCTACAACTACTACCGTTTCATTAGCAAGAATCCTGCGCCTAGGGCCTCTCTCAGCACAGATCTCAACGGATCAAAACCAGCACGCTGTTGCATCTTTGAACAAGGCCGTGAGCAAGGAAGTTCCCATTTATATGCTTCTTTAAATTCTGTCCCGATTCATCAGCTCTGCGACCATCATTGTGTGTTGTGATGTTCCGATCCCTAATACATAGTTTTTCAGAAGATATCTTATTGATGAGACACTGAAACAGCTTGTTCTTTCAAATGGTGCAGTTCCAGCTAGAGCCAAATACATTTCACAGCCAAAACATACAAGGAATAAATCATATTTTAGTGTGCGCTCAACAAAATCCACTTTCCTAATGCAATTTTGACAAACTTCTCAAGTTTAGATTCAACAGTGTACGGCCTGTGAATACAACCAAACACCATCCATCAACCATTTACGCTAATTTCTCTATTAACTGACAATTTCGGTCTGTAATTATGGTTCAAATTGATATTTTGAAGACATAATGCATCAAAACATGTTGATTTGTGATTATTCCTCCAGACAGAGGTCCAAACAATCATCACGAACATGTTGAAAGCATTTAAATGTCTCGCTTGCAGTCTTTATTCGCCATCAAAACA